AAGGAGAGAGATTTAATTTGTTTTAAGTGTAATCAGCTTTTTAATTCCATATGGATTTCCTCAAGATTTATGCGTAATACCACTGAGTTAAATTTTTTAAAACAGTTTATTTTCTTAAATCCGGACTTAAATGAAGGAATTGTTAATTAGGGAATTACCACGAGTTGCCTTTAGGAAATTGTCCGATAAATCTGATTCGCCGAAACGAGAAGGGGAATTAATCTGAGAATTTTTTCCAAAATACCATTGTATTTTTAATAGGCCGCCTAATTTCCCAACACGAATGAAAATTATGTTTTTCCCAAAATGGAACTAAATATTGAATTATACCCTTAAAGCTATGTTTTTAAAATCAAGGGGTTTTTGTGATGCAGTACGTACGGGGTTCATTGACACTCGTCAAATACGCGATTCGAATGTTAAAGACCCCGCGTCCCTAAGATAGGTGAAGTTCCGCAGTTTATGATTCGCCTTAGTAAGAAACAATTGGCTCCTTAGAAAAAGCCGATAAACTTTGGGAGATACACAGTGCCTGAATTGGGCCATTTTCGTGGGTCTACTACAGTCCGGTTGGTGATACTGACCTGCCCCGAGAGGCCGAGCAAAACGACATACGCCTGACGGACCGACGGCCATGCCCCTCCAGACGAGCGGCGGTGTTGGCGTCAGCACGCAGCGCCCAAGGCTGCCGGTGATGGCCCGGCACGGCACAGCAGCAGCCCCCAGCGCCAAGCGCAACCGTCCACAGCGACCCCGGTGCAGCAAACCACCAGAGAGTGCACGGTCCTTTGCACTTGCGCATAACACCAACCATGGTTTGGAGCCGCCGTGAACAGCATCCGTCGCCCGCCAATCCGCCGCACGAGTGGAGTGATAGAGCTAGAGGACCGTACCCCGCCACGTCCGATAAGTGCTGCGTGTCCTGCGACGGGCGCAATGCCCAACATTCGCTTTTTTTTTTCGATAATTTCGTTTTGCATATCACCCGATATGATTGAAGCAAATGGCGTTATTTTGATATATATAATTATATATATATATATATATATATATATATATATATATATATATATATATATATTTAATGTTTTTCCAAAACTTTGCAGTCGAAGCATTAAGTTTTAAATATGCAGAGGCAAAAACCTGTTAAAACTTGAAAGGAAATATGTTGTTTCCAGAATTGGATGCTAATTTCAATCAACAATTGAATTTTAATAAACGCCGCCAGAACAGCTTTTATCTATAAATGTTTACTAACTCGCGGTAATAAAAGAGGAAAGTATATTATTTTAGTCGAAGATGTGTTTCTGAGTAATGTTAGCTTTCACTATGCGCACGTTTTTTGTTGAACTCTTCTTTTTGCTTGTAATGTAGGCACTAGAGGTAAGGGTGAGTTTACTATTTTTTGTTAACAATGCAAAGAAAAATTCATACTTGCAATTTCGTTTAAACTCGATGCAAATAAATTTTCTATAAACTCTGGAATGGAAATGTCTATTTTTTCAAATTATTGCTAATCTCTCAGCGATTTTAAAAATTTATTTTTTAAACTTTTACTCAATTCTTTTCAACTATTTATAGTTTTAAAAATGACGGGAGGGATTCTGGAACTCAAGAAAACGTGGCGCCAATGATTTCTCCCCCAATCACGTTTCAGCGCAGTGTTTCTGTTTTCTTGCTAAAATGAAATTGATTAAAATTCTTAATCTAAAATGCTAAGTAAAATTTATGTACGCCATTTTTGAAATTAATTGAAAAACTAATATCGACGACAGAAAATTTGGGAGAACCAATGTAGGAGACTCCAGTCTTCCAAATACAAAGGGATTATTCACGTTTAAAAGCCACTGTGACAGTTTTAACGTCGCCGTAACGGAATGGTTTTTGCATTTCGTGCCTTATGGAATAATTTTACCATTCTCAATACAGTACATGTTTCCGCAATACAATGTTCCAGGACAGGCTGAACACTGGGGCATGGCCGTCGTCGTCAGCGTGCTCGGCCTCTCGGGGCAGGTCAGTATCACCACCGACTGTCCCACTCGTGAAAGTAAAACCGACAATACGTTAATATAGATTGAAAAAATGCCCAATTCAGGACTGTGTAACTCCAAGTTATTGCTTTTTCTAGCCAATGTTTCTTACCGCTTTTCCTTACTAGCAAATCATAAACTGCGACTCTCCTATCTTAGGACGCTGTCTACATCGATCGCTATGACGACGTCTAATGAACCGCATATGTACTGCAACTCAACCTCTTTGATTTTAACATAGTTGTAAGATATTCAATATTTGTAATTCCGTTGGACATAATTTCATTCGTGGAATAGACCATTTAATACCAATGGTGATTTAGAAATTCTCAGATAAATCCCCTCCTCGCTTCGCGAATCTGAGATTTATCGACAATTTCCAAAACACTCGTGGTATTGCCTAAGACAATTCCTACATTTTGAAGCCGATTTTAAGGAAATAACTGCTTAAAAAATTTAACTCAGTGGTTATGGCAGAAATCTTGTAGAAATCCATATGGATAAAAGAGTTATTTTCCACAATTAAAAATGTATTTAACTAAATACAGATCACGCTTCGGGGTGTCTACCTCATTCTCAGTTCTGCCTACATTGCTATAGAGTTTTGTGGCAGTTGGTCGATCAGCATGTCTAATAAGTTCGATGAATACCGCATAAATCTTGTGGAAATCCAAATTAATAGATAAAAAAATTATCTTCAACAATTAAAAAATGTACTTACTCTAAAGCGATAACTACTGAAAAAAACATACATGACTATATTTAAAGAACTATCATTGAACAACAGAATTCATTAACACAAATGTATCTCTATTTTCAGTATTATAGTTGCAGAGAAACGCCGAAAAACTTTCAGACTTTTGGAATTTTCGACAAATTACAGATTAAAATAATAGCAGCCATTGTTGAGAAATTTTGAAAACGTTGAGGCATCTTTCTTAGAGCGCGACGTTACGGAATTTTCAGAACGTCATAGAATAGCAGTACTTTCTCTTTACTGCGTGTGTAGTAAGACGAAAAAATAAAACGTGTTCCTGTCGACCAACGAGATGTCGTCACGAAATATTAATTTACGATTTACGTTTATTAATCAATAATCATCGCAAGAAGAGCATTCTTTACATTTGCATAAAAAATGGTTGAATGAGTTAACATGAATCTGATAAAAAATTAATTATCAGACAAAAATATTAGATGATAACAAAATCTAAATAATAACAATGAATATAAATCATTACGTTATCACGTTCATCGATAATCTCTACATCGGTCTTTCCAATATTTTTAAAATACAGAATTGTATCGATTAATTGTTCAACTTCCCAGTGTATACTAATGTAGTTCACAGATGTTAGTACAAAAAATTTATAGTTTTTCCAGCACTCATCCACGAAAACTAGTACTTAACTTTGCTTTTACTTTCTTGTATAGATATGGATATATGGAGTAATATACACAGTACAGAAAAAGTTATGTAATGCTGGAGAAAATAGATTTCGAGATTTACGGAAATACACGTTTTGGGGTCCCCTGATACCGAAAAAGTGCTTTTCTAAAAACTTTCGCACGACCGTGAACAACACTAGCACCTAAATTATTCGTAGAATTTTTCCCAAAATGAATACTTCCCGGTCTATCTGGCTCGACTCGAACCATGTGGATTTAAAATGAAGCCTTAAAATTTAGGGGTTCTTTAAATGAAGCCCCTTGAACATTTTCCAAATCTTCTCAAAAAATACTCCAAATTATTGCTCTAAATTTCTTGGAAGAATAGATTAAAATTCACCTATTTAGACGGAAAAGGTCCGATTTTGACTGTTGACTGTAGTTTCTAAAATGGCAATTTTTTTTTCGATGTCTTTCTTCAACTTCAGTTTTGAAGATCAAGTTTTTTCAAAATGAAATTTCTTCGTCATAATAAGTTCTTTAA